ATCTTTGAGTTAAAACTCAATTCTCATTGCAGACTCCTGCTCCTTCTTGGTTTATAGACTAAACCCAAGATAAGGTCTTTACTTTTGCTATAACAACAACTCGAATGGTTTTATTCTAATGACATTTGTATTTATAACACACAAGACACATAACGAACCAAACTCTTGTAATAGAATCAGATCAAATAAATCAAGCTGATGGAATAAAGAAAATGAAAAGAGTTTGATCAACACGTAGATGCTTTGGAACATAATGAATAGCACCACGTATCTCTAATTCGTGCTTTCGGACCTACACATCTTTTAGCTTTTAGCACCTCCTCCTTTTTAGTTGGAGTACTCTTTGATTGTTGAACGGAAACTTGACTCCCCGTCATTTGACTAGTAAGAGTAGGGCAGAAACATTTCTTGTGTCCAGTAACACCACATAGCAAGTCACATCTCTGGCTAATGATTGCTCAACTCTTTAATGAAGATCGTTATATTTCTATCGACTACCTCGACCATTTACTTCTTCAGTATTCCTACTGAAGTCTAATCACTATATAAGACATGGTTCTATGAACCAATCAACTCCTTTCGCGGATTTATACTAATCAGACTCGATTCTTTATGACATTAAGATTTGAACGATAATTATCTTCTTAGTCATTACCGAAACGAAGGTAACGACACACATGAATAAAACGAAATCATTTACTAGCTTCTTGGTAACCTTGTGAATTTTCCTGATCCAAGTGTGAGTCCTGTGCTTCCACTAGTATAGGCCTCTACTACTATTCACACCTACTCATACTCGTCCCAAGTATTGTCTCGCAGTTCCTAAGTCACTATTCAAAAGTTTTCACAAAGCAAATTATTACACATGAATGTGTTCAAACAAATACGTACAACAGTTTCTCCTAGACTGAACTAGGGTTTTTTTTTTTTTTTTTTTTTTTTTTTTTTTTTTTTTTTTTTTTACGATTCTATCAAACATATATTGGGTTACCTATACTCGCTTTTTAGAATTTTTCTCATGCATATGCTCGATTTAGTATATCCTAATACTTTTCCATAGGTCGATAAAAATTTTACTTCCATTTCTTCATATTAGTTCTTTCTTGAGTAGTGTCTACTCTACAAGACACACTATTCCAAAATTTACTTTAGTAGCATGGAGATAAACAGTCTTCTACTACCTGCATCATCTTCTAACTCATGTAATCCATCATGCACTTT